CTCCTCCATCTTCTCCTTCTGATTCCAGCAGGATTTGTCTCAGTCTCATAGGATTAATACAGATAGAAATGGCATAAGAACATTTATCAAGTAGCAAACTGATATGTTGCAAATACATTGCAAATTTGTTGAAGGAAAGATCTAAGTTCAGTAAAGCTAATAAAACAGCTCAAATTCAAGATACGTACCTGGGATGCATTTTATGGAGTAAAGGGCCTGCCTTGAAAGTAATTGATATGTGGACCAGCTAAGATCTTCCATATAAATTGCATTGGAATAGCCCATTCCAATCTTTCTTCTGCTGAATAGATGAATGAGTAATATGTGCCCAACTCCACTCTCAGCTTCATTCCTTATTTCCTGCTGTTTTCGGTACTGAGTGACAAGTGCCACCTGCTGGCCAAATGGAGCATTTTTAGTTTCATGTGTGACTTGATGGCTTGGCTAATTAGCAAATTAACTGGATAATTGTTCTTATAGTTTTAAAAGTACATAGGCAATGATTTGAAAGAATAAAATGAAGTTATAAAATCAATTCCCCTGAACATTAGAGCTTTCTAGTCCTCACATTTGCCATTTTCTCAGTTTTAGCTCACAATTTAGATCTCTCTTTTACCTTGTACTGTATGATAAAAATTATTTATGCACACAGACGATTGCTTTAGCTACATTTCATTTAGGGCTGTTGCACTAGTTAAATCCACTTAATACCATTGGTCAATGAAATGATAGATGATGACATCATTCCTTAACTTATTTGTTCCTCTCTATCTAATGTTAATGGGTGATGTATTTGTATGCTCAGTTTGTGCAGTGGGTGCCATATTGCTTATTTACCTTCTATGCTTTTCTGGATTAGTCTTTTCTAGTTAACATTGATTTGTGAGCCCATAGTCCAGATTAGCTCTACTGTGATCAACTTGTCTTTGTAGCTCTAATGTGACCAACTTGTCTTTGTGTGTGTGGTACTCCTCTCTCCACCCCCTAGACATTCCCTGCTTCTTCACTGTCTGCCACTTCT